GGGGCTATAGGACAGGGCGGGGCTAATAGGATAGAGCGGAGCCTATAGGACATGATGGAGCCTATAGGACATGATGGAGCCTATAGGACATGGCAGAGCGTATAGGACAGGGTGGGGCTTATAGGACAGGGCAGGGCCTATAGGACAGGGCAGGGCCTATAGGACATGGTGGAGCCTATAGGACAGGGCAGGGCCTATAGGACATGGTGGAGCCTATAGGATAAGTCAGGCCCTATAGGACAGGGCAGGGCCTATAGGACAGGGTGGAGCCTATAGGACAGGGTGGAGCCTATAGGACATGGTGGAACCTATAGGACAGGGTGGGGCTTATAGGACACGGTGGAGCCTACAGGACAGAGTGAAGCCTACAGGCCATGGTGGAGCCTATAGGACAGGGCGAAGCTAATGGAAAAGGGTGGAGCCAGTGGAAAAGGGCAGGGCCATTGGAAAGGGGCGGGGCTTCTGGACTCCAAGGGTGGAGCCCTATGGATGAGGCGAAGCCCATGGGAAAGGGCAGAGCCCGCAGGACAAGGTGGGAGCAGCGGGAGAGGGCGGGGCACCTGGGCTCAGGGTGGAGCCTATGGGACAGGGCGGGGTCAGTGGGAGAGGGCGGGGCCAACTGGTGACAGAGGTTGGGAGTGGTGGGCGGGGTCAGGGTGGGCGTGGCCGCGCGGGGCGTGGCACACTCACAGGCGGGCACTGCGCCAGCTTGTCCGAGGCCACCATCTGCACGTTGAGATGCTTCGCCTGGGACTTGCCCCGGGACTTCACCAGGCGCTGCAGCACCTGGGGCACGAGGGGACAGCCCGGGGTGGCCTCAGGGACACAGTCGGACCCTCCCCAGCCCCCCAGCACGGCAGGGAGGGGGCTGGCGCTGCCCCCCGCCCGCTCCAGCACCCCCAGACCCACCTTGGGGGAGGTGATTTTGATGTAGACGATGATGGGGGCCAGGGAGGTCTTGGCCAGCTGGGCCGGGTGGTTGATGGTGTCGGCGTCCAGGGCCACCAACTGCAGCGTCCGGGCCAGCTCGAAGATCCGCTCGGTCTCGCTCTGCACCTCGGCTGGGGGGGAAGGCACGGACAGTGGGGTCAGGGGACACGTGGGGACAACGGCTGGGACAGACGGGATGGGGGGCACAAAGGGTCTGCACTGGGATTTGGCCACTCCAGTGTCACCCCAGCCACAGGAGGGAGGGTGGACTGGGCTCCGGGTGGGTGAGGAAGGGGCAAAAGGGGCAAAACCCCCCCTGAACCTCACACACACATGGTGGGAGGGGGGTCAAGCCAGGGCTGTGCCACCAGGGTGTCCCCAACCCCGCTCTGCCCGGGGTGGCCGGACCCTGCTGTGTCCGAGTGGCGGGATGGGGGATCCGAGGGGACACGTCCCCGGTGCCGGGGGTCCCGCGTTACATACCCAAGACATCTGTATCAGGAGCAGGGGAGGAAGGAAGCGGCACGGAGGGGAGGAACCCCAAAAGGAAAAGGAGAAACAGGAAAGAAAAAAAAACACAACAGAGAAGATAAAAGAGGAGGAGGAGGAGGAGGAGGGGAGGGGCTGAGTCACGCGGGGGGAGCGCAGGGTTGATCACCCCACACCCCCACGCCCCGCGAGCACCCCGGGGTGGGCTGGGGGCTGATACAGATGGAGGCTTGGGGGGTGGGGGGGGTCCCGCTGCCCCCGGGGGGTGCTCGGGGGGTGCCGTACCCAGGCTGGAGCGGGTGCTGGAGCGCTCGATGATGGTGTGTTTGCTGGGGTTGTTGAGCACGGAGCGTTTGGCCAGGGAGATGTCGGCCGTGACCCGCGTGATGGAGATCCTGGAGGCACGGGGAGGGGTGAGACACCCCCCTCCATACACACCCCCAACCCCTGGGGGGGCAAGGGGGACCCTCCTGCCACCCCCTTCCTGCCACCCCCTTCCTGCCACCCCCTTCCTGCCACCCCATGCTCAGGGCTGCTGGAGCTGCAGGATTCCCCATTAGGGTCCCCCTGTGATTTTAGGGTCCCCACTTGTGGGATTAGGGGTCCTCCCATGGGTTTTGGGGTCCTCTACAGGATTAGGGGTCCCCCTACAGTGTTTAGCGATTCCCCTGTGGGTTTATTAGGGGTTCCCCCGTGGTTTTAGGGGTCCCATCCATGGAATTAGGGCTCCCCCCAATGGGATTAAGGGACTCTCATGGATTTAGGGGTCCCTCTACAAGGTTAGGCATCCCACCTTGGGTTTACAGCTCCTCACATGGGATTAGGAGTCCCATCCTGGATTTAGGGGTCTCCCCTTGAGATTAGGACTCTCCTCATGTGATTAAGGCTCTCTTCATGGGTTTCTATGGGGTCCTTCTATGGGGTTACAGGTCCTCCCATGGGTTTCAGGGTCCCTCTATGGGGTTAGGGGTCCTCTTGTGGATTTAGGGGTCCCTCTGTGGGGTTAGGGGTCCTCCTATGGGTTGCGGGGTCCCTCTATGGGGTTACAGGTCCTCCCATGGGTTTCAGGGTCCCTCTATGGAGTTAGGGGTCCTCTTGTGGATTTAGGGGTCCCTCTATGGGTTAGGGGTCCTCTTGTGGATTTAGGGGTCCCTCTATGGGGTTAGGGCTCCCCCAGCCCCCCCATCTCACCTGCCATCAAAGCGATGCTTCAGGAAGTCGAACAGGGCTTTCTGCATCATGTCCGTGACCTTGGAGGGGGGGAAAAGGCAGGGAGGGAGGGACACCATGGGGCCGGGATCCCCCTCCCCGTGCCCCCCCCCCGTACCCACAGCTCTCACTCACCTCGTAGCCCTTCAGCGAGGGCCCCACGAGGATGATGGGTCGCATGGAGGGCACCACGTCGTAGGGGGGCACGTGCTCGGCCTGGGGACAGAGCGGGGGGTCAGCGGGGCCGGGGGAGGGACGTGGGGGGCACTTCCAGCTTCACCCCTGCAGGGGCAGCTCCGAGGGGGGCTGCAAGCGGGGGGCACCCCACCCTAACCCCACCCTAACCCCACCCCATCCCATCCCCTCCCCGGGGGGGTCCTGACGCTACTCACCAACTTCTGCTTCTGCTTCGCTACGTCCCGAGGGGCCACGGGGGGCCGGGGGGGCGAGAGGAGACAAACAAGGCATGCGTGTTACCCGCGGGCACGGGGGGCACCGGGGGCGGGGGGGGCGCGGGGACACGCGTGTCACCCGGGGGACACGTGTGTAACGCCCTGGGAGTGCCCGAAGGACATGTTGTGTGACCCAGGGGGTGGCCCAGGGACACGTGTGTGACCCCAGGGGACACATGTGTGACCCAGGGGGACACTTGTGTGACCTGGGGACATGTGTGTGACCCAGAGGACACATGTGTGACCCAGAGGACACGTGTGTGACCCAGGGGGTGTCCCAGGCACACATGTGTGACCCAGAGGACACATGTGTGACCCCAGGGGACACTTGTGTGACCTGGGGACATGTGTGTGACCCCGGGGGGTGCCAAAAGGACACGTGTGTGAACCCCCAGGGGTGACTGAAAGACACGTGTGCCACCCAGGGGACACATATGTGACCCCAGGGGGTGACCCAGAGGACACGTGTGTGACCTGGGGACGTGTGTGTGACCCAGGGGGTGCCCAAAGGACACGTGTGTGACCCCCCTGGGGGGCTCCATGGGCACATGTGTCACCCAGGAAGTGACTCAAGGACACATCTGTGACCCAGAGGACACGTGTGTGACCCCAAGGGTGTCCCAGGGACACATGTGTGGCCCCAGGGGGTGTCCCAGGAACACGTGTGTGTTATACATGAAGTATCTCCTGCTCAGGGTCAGATTTGGGGTTCCAGAGGGGGCTCTGCAGGGTGTGGGGGGTGGCCGGGACCCCCCCAGACGTCCCTGCAGACTCCCCCCCGCCCCGGGTTGTGGTTGCGCCCGAACCCCCCCAGCTTGTGCCCAGTTTGGGGGGGAGGAACGGTCCATTCCCAGTCGCAGGGGGGGACGAGACAGCGGCCGTGCTGGCACACACCATGCACACACTGGGGGGGTCTGGGGGGGGGCACGGGCTGATCCATCCCATGGACCATGGGGGGGTCACAGCCACGGGCTGATCCATCCCATGAACCACGGGGGGGTCACAGCCACAGACTGCTCCATCCCATGGATCATGGGGCGGGAATGTGGCCATGGATGGATTCAACCCATGGACTGTGGGGGGGGGGTCACAGCCACGGGTTGATCCATCCCATGGCCCGGGGGGGGGGGGGTCACAGCCCCACTCTGACCCCCCCCAGCCCCAGGTGCAGGGGGTCATGCCCATGCTGCAGTGCTGGGGGTGCTGGGGCAGCGGGTGCCCCCCAGCCCCGTGGGGTGCCCCCAGCCCCATGGGGTGCCCCCAGCCCCCCCGGCAGGGTTAGGGCAGGCAGCGGGTGCAGCAGGCGAGGCGGGGGCCGGCGGGGGGGGGGGGCCCTTTTACCTTCCTAAAGAAGGGGATGCGCTTGTTGTGGGCGGGGGGGGTGGTGACACTGCTCACGCTACTCTTAGGGGAGCGCTGGGTCTCCAAGGCCTCCTCCTCCTCTAACTCATCGGGGTCAAAGGCAAAGCTGGGCATGTCCAGGGCACCTGGGGATGGCCCGAGCCGGGGCCAGGACACGGCAGGGAGAGAAGAAGAGCGGTAATGGCGATGGAAGAAGGGGAATGATGGAGATGGGGGGGCTGGGAGGGGCGGGAGGGTGGTGGGAGAAGCAGAGGAGAGGGGTCTCTGGGGGAAGGGGGTGTGCCCTGCCTGCACCCGGGGCAGAGGGGGTGGGCTGTGGGTGAAGGGGAGGCGGGGGAAGGACCCCCCTGGGCTGAGGGGGGACACTCTTACCGCTGGCCGGGGGCGTGGGCCGGCGGGTCCCTGTCACCACGTCACCCAGGCTGGAGGTGGAGTTGTCCCCGGATTTGCTGGGGGAGGGAGAAGCACAGAGAGAGAGAGAGAGAGAGAGAGAGAGAGGGAGCGGGATGGGGGTG